CCCTGCGGGGGGGGGCACTGCTCAGTCCTGTGCCCCTGCTGTCGCTCACCTTGGTGGGGGCGGGGGGCGCAGAGGGGAAGCCCTCCCGATGGTAGTCCTGGTGTGTGGTGGTCAGGGACTCCACGGGGCCGGGGGGAGGGTCGATGTCTTCCTCAAAGATCTCCTTGCTGCACACAAGGACAGCCACGTCTTCAGCGGGTCACTGGGGGGGGGAGGAGCCCTCCCCTCCCCCCTGGTTGGAGTCCAAAGGAATCACGGGAGAACAGAACGCCAAGCGGTCCCAGGAGCAGGACCCAGCAGGGCCGCAGGGCTCCCTCCTGTCCCAAATAGCCCCCCCCCCCCGGGGGGGGGGTCCTGGGATCCACCACCTTCCTCCTCCCCCCTGGCCCACCCCAGGCAAGTTGGCTCCAGGGACGGGGGAAGCACACACACCCCCCAACGATCCAGCGCTGCTCTCTGGCACTCTGGGACAGCAGATTTGGGGGAGGGGGGCTACAGAGCGGGCCCTGGGAGTAGTTTGGCCAGCGTGGGAATGCCCGGGTCTTCTTCTTTCCCCTCTGCCGGGACACGGGGGCTCGGCTGCTCCCCTGCTCTGCTCCCCCCGCCCCCCCCCCCCCATCCCCTCCTTGCTCCCTTAAGGTCGCTGGAGAAGCCCACTCGGGACGGCCTCCCCAAGCCCCAAACTCTCAGCCTTTCCTGGCCGCCTTCTGCGCCCTCAGATTCCTCCGCCCTTTTAGCCCCCCACCCGCCTCTTTTCCGGCCGGCCTCTTCCTCCCCCTCCTCCTCACCCGCCGCCGCCGCCGCCCAGGAGGAAGAGCTGAGCAGCACGGACTTCCCAGGAGGGGTGGCTACCTGAGGCCTGGCCCTCCCGGTAGGGCACCGAGGGACTTGGGATCTCGCATACCAACGTCACAGCTGCTTCACTCTGTTGCTGAGCCCCCCCCCCCCATCCATCCCTACCTTCACCAGGTAGGCGAGCCTCTGCCAGGAGAGGGAGAAGCCACCTGGGTTCAGCGGAGGGAGGGGGAGCCTCTGGAAAGGCTGCGGAGAGGGTGGTCCTTTGCTCCGACTGCCCTCACCTGCCGTGCCTGCCTGCCGAGGCTCCCAAAGAATTCTCAAAAGGCACCACGGAGGCCCCCTCCCGCGGCGGTTTGGGCCTCGGCCCAGGCTGGGCCCGGAGCCAGGCACGCTCCAAATCACCCCCTGCCCCTGGGGAGGAGGGAAGACGGGGAGGTCTCTCTGCTCACCTGTATTTCTGGTACAGGAGCCACTCCAGCGTGGCCTCGCGCTGCCCTGGGGGAGAGGGGGGGGGAGCAGTGAGGGCGGACTAGGGACCCTGATGGGGGGGGTCGGCCTGAGGGGAGCGGGGGGGGGAGCCCCTGAAGTCCAGAGACCCCGTTCCCGGGAGGTTGTGCTGGGGGCAGTGTTCCCTCTAAGCTGAGTGAGTGTGAGCCAGCTCACAGCTTTTTAGCCTCCAGTGCCCAGGCCCACCTCTGGCGGGGAGCGCGGTCCTGGCGGGCCTCTGGTAGGCGTCCTTCATGGTGGTGCTCCGGGCCAGGCCGGCCCGGAAGCGGAGGGTGAGCAGGCCGCGGTGCCCGTGCCGGTAGCAGAAGCCCTCCGTGCCCTCGCGGGGGCTGGGCACCTGGTCCAGGGCATTGGTGGCTCTCTGCAAGGGCCAAGGAGGGGGGCCGGGTTAGGGACGGAGGGCCCGCTCTGCCGCGCACAGGTCAGCGGGGCTGCAGCAGGAGCTGGGAAGGGGGCGAGATCCAGGTGCCATCCCCCCTGCTCCTCCCGCTCCC